CGAGATAAAGTCGGAGCATTTTCAATCGTATTCAGTGGAGGTTATGAGGATGATGTGGACAACGGGGACGTATTTATGTATACCGGGTCTGGCGGAAGGAACTTGAAAGATAAAAACAAAAGAACGGCGAAGCAAAGTATGAATCAAGTTCTTACACGTTCCAACAGGTATAACTGACAATATTCTCACTGAAAAGAATTTATCGCAAAATTGTAATGTATATAATTATCAAAATAATAATTTTTAGAGCTTTAGCACTAAACTGCGACTCCGAATTGAATGTAAATGGAGCTAAGGCAAAGAATTGGATAAAAGGAAAACCTGTGCGAGTTATAAGAAGTAGTAACTCAAAACACTCAAAATATGCTCCGGAGTTGGGTTATAGGTAGGCATAAGACGTTTTAAGATTGTTTTAAACTTGTTCATTTTTTTTCTACTTCTTCATTCCAACTCAACGGAGGATCGGCTATCTTCAATAAAGACTTTCACTTGACCAATTGTTTTAAATGTAAAATTATAATTACAATTTGAAAGTGCGAAGAAACAATAATTATAAAAACGAACACCGTGTAAATAGGAACTACCATAAAACCTGATTCTATTGAAATTTATCCCATAATTTTATAGGTATGATGGTCTTTACAAAGTTGATTCATACTTCCCAGTACGCGGTTTATCCGGGTATATTGTTTGGCGGTATGTATTAAAAAGGGATGATCCAGCACCAGCACCTTGGACACAAGAAAGCACAGACAATATGGCCAAAAAGGGTCGGGAAATAATTGTAAGTTCTGTTAAAAAATATCACAATATAAATTATTGGGAAAATTATGTATCGTTTCATTGTAATTTTTTTTAAGTTTCCTGAAAATTATAACATCAAAACAACAATCAAACAAGAGAAAAGGCCTTTCAAAGAAAATGAGGAGAGTAATGAGCCTACGAGCGGTTCATCAAAAACAGAAGGCATTACGGATGGTATGAAAAAGAAGATTAAACTTATGTATACACTCAAACCGGAATTAGAAGATTTTATTAGATACGATACAGAGAATGAAAAACGTTGGGCTGAATGTATGGGTTTTTTGGATAAAGGAAAAAAGGTATGTATTTTATTTGCTAAATTATTCATGTAAGTATGTTAATGAATTTGTTACATTTACAATTGCAATTTATTATTGTGTAGGTATTTCTGGAGCATGTGAAGAAAACTTTTAAGTGTGTATGTTGTCAAGATGTGGTTGTTTACCCCATAACAACCCCATGCAAACATCTTTTTTGCCACGTGAGTATAAATATGCAATTT